GTAAAAAGCACTTTTTTTTGTAAACAATTGTGAAGCACATGAACATTTTTTTATTTTGATCTTTATAATTCAATATACTTGTGATTCTCTTGCACTTTCTTAATTTCCCTTGCTTTGCTTAATAATACAGTATGTGTTCAGCTTGTGAAAACTATTCATGTTGCATGGTGGTGCATTTTTCTCTGTTAGGGCTATATCAAAGAATTACTACAGAAAGGTGTTATGACTGACAACTTACCTTTGATATTTCCTTGCATGATTTTGGCATGAGCAAGAAATAAACACAATGGATGTTACCTCTCTGTTCAGTTTTTGAAAACAAATAGGGCGTGTTACCATCTCCTGTTACATTGCTGCTTTTCCTTATGGACCAAAGCTGTTTAGAACAATTGTATTCCTTGTTGTGTCCTATGTCCTACAAATCTGTTGTACTGGTGAGTATTAGGATTCCCACTGAATGAATAATGTTGATTGTCTTATTATAATGGCACCTGGAAGCAAGTGGGATATGTTAAGACCGCAAGTGAATATTTTGTCCCTGAAGTTATGTTGGAAGCAGAAGAAAATGCGTCAGCATTTTACTGACTTTGACAAGGGCCAAATTGTGATGGTTAGGGGACTGGGTCACAGTGACCACAAAATTGCACCCTTGTGGGGTGTTCCCGGTCTGCAGTGGTCAGGACCTACCAAAAGTAGTCCAAGGAAGGAGAACAAGCGACAGGGTCAGGGGTGGCCGAGGCTCATTAATGCAATTGGGGAGCAACGGCTGGACCATGTAGTCCGATCCATTAGAAGAGCTACTGTAGCTCAAATTGCTGAAAACTTTAATTGTGGTTTCGAAATTAAAAGTGTATGAATTGGAGTATAGAGTTACAGGCCCTTAAAGAAGTTGAATAAAGTTGTTGGAAAACAACACTGTTCCCTTTTCTTTATCGGTTAGTACAAGATTATTCACAGCTTGGTACGATCGATGGGAGATTGTGACAGTGCTGCTGAGTGATTCATTGTGAGCTGAGATGCAGGAGGGGGAGGCTAAGGATACATTGCCTGCAGGCTCTTAATGAACAGAACATTGATCTCTGACAAGATGTGTTGGTGTCACTAATTGTATTGTATGGGCTGTGCAAGGTGAAGGGTTACAGCACCTAGTGATTGGAGAGACTGCACATTCACACCCAGTGCTTCTCTACAGCTGTCACTGACTTCTTTCTATTTCATCCTTCTTTCTCTGCTTTTGCCTTCTCTGTTTTTTAAACTCCATCCTTTTATGGCTTTCTGTTCCCTCTCCTGTTTGTTTTGCAGCTTCTTTGTGTAGCACAACTGGGAAAAAGAATATAGTTAATGCAATATAGGGAATAGAACAGAAAACATAGAAACTGCAACACTGAATGAGTGGACAGTCTAATTAGCCACATGGGATGGCATTACGTTCATGTATTGTATTCTGAACAGGCAAATACCTATCAAGCATGTTAACAAATGGATGAGAATGTGTGTAGGTTCTGTAGGTATGCATGATGGCTATTAAAAAGTTAGGAGCTGCATGCTTAGAAAAGAGTTGGTACTTCTGGTACTTGGTTATATAGAACCCTCTCCAAAACCACCTACAGCTATCATGAGGATTACATATAGAATAAAAAATGGTGTAGAGTAAAACCTATTTGTAGACATGTAAGATTCATTTGGTACCCCCTGGCAAAGCACCTTGTCCTTATGATGAGGTTATGGTGGTCTGCGGGCAGGGGTCCTTATCTGAATCTGGGTGCCACTACTCATTCACCAAATACTGTAAAATTGTAAATAAAAGTGTACAACACAGGAAAAAAAAAAAAAAAAAAGCAGTTTTTTTTACAATTTAAAAAAAGACCACAAAACCCAAAATATGTCGGGATCCGCTCCGGCTGCGGCGTCTCAGTATACTGCGAGCTGTAGCTCGCGGTATACTGAGCTTAGGGTAACGGTAGGACGCTAGTTTGTGTCCTCCCGTTACCCTAAGGAGAACTATGGGGAAAAACACTGACCCCATAGTTCTCCTTTTAAGGGCCGGTTCATGCTATAGTGTGTACTCCACAGCGTTCGACCTCTGGAACGCAACCCAGGTGTCTCCCTGCATTCGGGGGCGGGTAGGGGCATGGCACGGTCAGGCCAGAGGAGCAGAGGGGAAAAAAAAAAAAAAGTGCAGCATGTGGTGGACTGCCGAGGAGACTGCCTGTGGCTGTGACCCAGTTCTTGTTCATGGCCCAGGGGGTCTGTGCTGCCCTACAGCATGAAGACAAAAGAACACAAAAGGCAGTAACTTAACAGCACTAATAATTTGAAAATGTACAAATCGCTGCAAATCCCTTGGGATTGTTATTCCCAATCAGTAAGCAATACAAAGTATGGCACAGCTATAAACCTGTGAAAAACAGGCCGTCCGCCAAAACATAGTGACCACGCAAAGAAAGATTAGTAGGAGAGTACCGTATATACTCGAGTATAAGCCGACCCGAAGAGCTCTATGACCACCCTAAAGGACTTGTAGGTCTCATTGGCTGTTACTGGAGAGGCTATGCATAACAATTGTTGCCAATTTAGTGCTTCAGTAGTCACAGCTTTATGAGAGGTGGCAAAAAGCCACTAACGAAAACTTGACATTCTGCCTACAGTTTGTCAGACAACTCCTAAAAGAGACTGAAGGTAGCTGGAAGAAGGTTCTATGCTAAGGTCCGAGACCAGAATTCAGCTTTTGCGAGTCAGAGACCTGACACTACACATAACTTCAGCAGACCCACCATGAGGTCTAGTGAAGTCATCATGCTGTGCTGATTGTTCCCAGGTCCTGGAATTCTTGTGAAGGATAGAGGGTAGAATTGTGGAGAAGTAAAGCAAAATCCTGGTGGAAAATCTGATGCTGTCTGCAAGAAACTTGAGCCTAGGGAAAGGATGTATTTAGCCTAAGAATGACCACAAGCACAAAGTCAGAATTACAGCAATAATGTCCTGGAATGCTTGTCTGTGTCCAGATCTCAATCCAGTAGACTAGACTTGAGAAATGTCTGTTCACTCATGATCCCCATGCAACCTGACAGAGCTGGAGCAGTTTTGCAAAGAGGGATGGGGGAAATTGCAGTGGCCAGATATAGAGACCTATCCTCACAGACTCAATGATGCTGCCTAATTGCAGCCGAAGGTGCATCTACTGTAGATTTTTTTTGAAGGGGGTATATACATGTGCAGTCAGTTATTTAGTGTTTTCATTGTAAATCATTCTAAATCGCTTTGTAAAGATCTATTTGCACTTTGACATTAGTCTATTTCTGTTGACCATAATTTAAAATAAAAATTATGAGTCAATGTTCTTCGGTGAATACTTTATACAGGCACTACTTATTGGCTGCATGGAAATGAAGTCTATTTCATTCACTTGTCAAAAGCAATTATTTTCCATTATAGTTATTTATAGTACTGCACTTTTCAGCACAAAAAATGGGCTGAAAAACTAGGCTTATACTCGAGTATATACGGTATTTGCAAGTTCTAAAAATGGCATGCAATGTCATGTAGCTATTTCCTACATGTTTTGTATGTGTATAAGGTTTCACCTTGACTGTTTTTTGTATATTGTTGTTGCAGGTCTTCCCCGATTTGCCAGCCAGCCTGAGGCCTCTTCTGTGTACATTGGGGATAGTTTGGTATTAAGCTGTGATGTAAGCCCAGAACTGGTATCATTTGTTCATTGGGAGCAGGACAGGTCTTTACGAGAACTGGATGACAGAATTGCTTTGCTGTCCAATGGCAGCATAGTTATCAGTAACACCAATGAGAGTGATGCTGGTGTTTATCGGTGTGGAGTGGGCAGTGGAGCATCTTTCAAATATAGTGAAGAAGCTGAGATCAAAGTACTTCAAGGTAAAAACCCCTGTTTGTGTTCTTTATAAATGTTCAAAGGCACCTTTTCATCTGTGATATAAGCGTTTTTTGCTTTCAGTGGCTTCCCCCTGTATGTAAATTGTCGACGATATATAAATACCTGTTATAAATAGGTTGCCAGCCAAATTCAGGAAGTGTACAATTAAGATCCTGCCTTTTTGTCATTGACTTTCCTAATTTGTTTAGAATACAAATTATAAATGTTTTTTCCATCTTCCTGCCATTTTATCTTTTATACCTCAGATTTCCTCTCTTTTCAGTTACTGTACACCCAAATCTGCTGCAAATATTGTGTGATTTTTTTTCTTCTTCTAGTTTTGTGAGGATGAAGTTTCCTTTTTTTATGGGGCATTAAGGGCGATTCATCAGTTAAAGGAATTTAGACACATCCTTGAGCACCACACCATCTGACCCCCATCAGAACTTTGGTGTCTTAAAATCCTTGAGGCATATGAACAGGGGTGCCCATAAGGTCGATCGCAATCTACCAGCCGATCGCAAAGCTAATTCTGGTAGATCGCGATCAGAAGTTATAGTTGGCTGCTCCGGTTATCTTGGCGCTCAGCTGCTGCTGGCCGGGTGCAGTTCTCAGACATGACCAGCAGGTGGCGCTCTATCCCAACCAAGCTCGTGACACTGTAAGCCGTGGTTCACAGAGTACAGCATGCAGCGCTCTACTCTGAGGAAGTCTGAGAGCCGGGCCCTGGGGCCACACACATCCGACACAGTCCCGGGTGAGTCATGTTCTTTCTAAGAGGGAGGGGGCATTGTGTACCCGGCGGGTACTGCGCATGCCTGCTATTATTTTGGAGTATATCTTGGTATTTTGGTATACCAAAATATACTCCCAAGATGGCAGCACCCATGCCCAGAACGCACTGGTGGCCGATACGGCTGCTGCTTGTTCTGCAGTCTCTTTGTGGGGCTTCAGATTCGGAGACTCGTTGCCTCTGAATCGGAAACTGCATTAAAATGTGTTTCCATTGATGAAACAAATGAAAATTTGTTTTTCATTTGTTTTAACCGAAACTATTTTTTTTTTGCCCTGCACATGTCTATTACACACTGAGATTAGGCATTTGAGGTTTTTTTTTTTAGGAGTTTGGCCATTACAGGTAATAGTCCCATAGTTTACCTTTTTTCTGATAAGAGTGCTAGGTCTGACTAAGGGCCCGTTCACAATTGTACAGTGCGTTCATCGCACTCGCTGTTCTGTTGCGGGAGGTGCGTTGCGGTGCCTTTGGTTGGTAGATCTCATTGAGCTGGCCATATAAAAAGTAGATCTTAACACAAAAAATTGTGGGCACCCCTGCATATGAAAATAGAATGTTGCAATTTTTTTTTTTTGTTGGCTTTGCTTCATATGCTCGTGGTAATGCCTCTGTGTTGTGCAAGCTCTTTTTGAGCTCTCCCATTTCTTAGTATTCATAGTCGCACTCTCTTCCCCCCTCCTGGCCAGTGTAAATGTGTAAAAAAACGTAGAATTTTTAGCCTTCAGGTCTAATAGACGCTTCATTGAAAAAAAATGAGGAAAGGCTTCAAATGCGAGTCATGAAAAATGTGCACATGTATACATCATCACTGCACCTCTTAAAAAAACCACTAAGTGCTAATCACTTACAAAGGTGGAAATGGACTTTAAACTATTTTTTGTTGAACTGTTTTTCTTTTCCTTAGAAACGGGAGAGGATCGCTCTTTGGTATTTCTTCGCCAGCCTTTCTCTGCTACGAGTGTTGCAGGACAAACAGTACTACTTTCCTGTGTGGTATCTGGGTTCCCAAACCCCAATATACGCTGGAGCCACAAACAGGAAGAAATCATTTTTGACAGGTAATTTCAAAGTTCAGCAAAATTGTTCACAAGTTTTAGTTGCATGTTTTCCTCCTTTCTAAAACATCATTCACATAACATTTTAGAACTGAGCAACTTGGCTAAGTTAATTAAACAGCCGTGCGCAGAGTGTCCCAATCAGAATTAATCATCTAATCTCCATGAAGCAAAAGCAGATTGGATGCCCCACATTGGCACTACTCTTTGCACTACTTTAACTGAAACAGTCTGTACATGTGAAAGGGTGAATTGAATAACGTACACTAGAAATACCATTATTGTCTTTGTGCTCTTAAAAGTCTAGGTATAAATTTATTTTCCAAATGAAGTAAAAAGATTTTGTCACAGAGCTAACATGTCTTGTGGGTCAGAAAACATCCCTTGCATCAGGACTTCGGAATTAGATGAAAAAAAGTATAAATAGACAGAAATTAATATGCCTGATACTGATGGATCAGAACAAATATATTTCAAGATACCGTAAATGTGACTATTATAAAGGTGGTTTGAATTTATATCAAATTAAAACATTATATAGGTGGAAATCACTGTAAAGATTTCATGGATGTCACTAAGATCAAAAACCAACTGGCAAGATTACAATTGCAGATTCTTAAAAAAAAAACAAAAAACACTAGAATGCACTTTAGAATATATGTAATATAACATTTTAAAAATGAACTGTGCTATAAATGGTCCCTCATAAATAAATATATAAAAATATCTATAATGGATAATCGTAGAATCCCCCAAAAATACATTATAAAAATCATAATAAAGATTACTCCAGGCAATAAATCTAATTAACAATTATCAACCGTAAAAAAATAAAAAACCCCGAAAAACTTTACTCTCAAATCAATATTCAAAAACGGCAGAAATGTAATGTAAAATTGTAAAAGTAATCTTCAAAGGTGCTTCAAACCAAGTGATATGCCAATGTATTCACCTGTTGATTGCTCTTACCGAATTAAACAAACTCACGGAATAAAATGCACTTAATAATCACACAAATCTCCTTTTATTCCTTCAACGCCTCTCCTTAATAGATCATGATAGGGCTCTACATATAAATGGATTACTGATAGGATTTTATTTGTAATGTAATTTTTTTGCACAAAAAAAAATACTTTTCTGACTAATTTTAGAGGATAAAACTGTATTGAGTTAATAAATATTTGTAAATGATAAATTGCGCCTTTTTGCGAAACGGTAAAAAAATTAACACAGAAGTGTAAATCAGCAAATCAGCACACTGCTGCACATATAAAATATATATAATATATATATAATGTGTATATGTGTGTGTGTGTGTGTGTGGGGGTTTTTTTATTAAAAATACTGATCCCTGACATTTCCCGCCTTGAAATAGAAAAAGAAATTGAGGACACGGAGTCCTCAATCCCTTTTTCTGCAGCCTCAGCACTGAATGAATGGAAAGCACTCAGTACAGAGGGTTCTCATTCATTCATAAACTGGTGATAGTAAATATTTACTATCGACCAGTTATGAATGGGTGGAAGCCTCCTGTAATGAGTGCTTCTACCCATTCAGAAACTCATGAATGAGCAGCAAGTGATGTAAAGCACTTCCTGTTCATAACTGGGGACACATAGTACTGATCCTCCGCTCGGCCACACACACAGCCCCTTTCGTCCTGAAACTGACAGGATGACCCAGTCTTTGCTCTCCTCCCCGTTTGGCTGTGACTCCTCTCTCCTCACTGCTTGGCCATCCTGATGACAAGCAGCTCCCTCCTTCCCCCGCCGGCTGCATTTCTCCTCGGATCCCCGCTGCCTCAGCCCATACAGGCAGGGTAGAGCAGCGGGGATCCAAGGAGAAGCAAATCCCAGCATGGAGCGGACAGAACCTGGCAGATTCTGGCTGCAGATTTTTTGTTAATGGTGGTTATCAGCAGCATTTCAGCTGCTAATGACTGATATTAATTTACAGGGGACCCTCGGGAGAACCTTTTTGATAAAATGGTTGCTAAAGCGACCATCAGCTTATAGCAGGAGAGTGAAAGCCACCAACGTAAGGCTTACTGACGTGGCCACCTGCAAGCAGTTGTTACACCGTAAGCCTTGCATCGACGGCAGCGAAGGGGTTAAAACAACCCTGAGTATTCATGTTGAGTTGTTCACATTTATATATGCATTCAAAATGTTTTTCTTCTGTTAAATGTCATTCCTCGATGTCTACTACAAGTGTTTTGCTGCTCTTTAGCCTCTACATAGGTAGTGTCCTAACATAGCATCATGTTACATTGATTTTTCTTATTATTAAAGCTGTGGTGTCCTCTTTTAGAGTCACAGTATTGCCTTGTGTTTGCGCTTTATGACCGGTATGTATGGTGTTTACCTCTTCAGTGATAACACTAGAACCCTATAGCGTGATATAAAGATTTATTGACATAACTCCATTCTTTAGTGCGTTTGGCGATCTAGGAAGGTCAGCACTGCTGGGATTTCTTCTGTCCTGTTGCTGCTATTGTTCAATTCAATGCAAGCTTAGAAGGTTTTAAATCTGCCCTTCCATTGACTGTGTCTACTACTTACAGCTCGGACAGATTGGTATTGTTGGCAGGAGGCAGCCTACAGATCAGCAATGTAACAGAGGAGGATGCTGGGATCTATACATGTACAGCAGACAATGGAAACCAAACCATACATGCCCAAGCTGAACTATTTGTACAAGGTAAGGAAACCATCATATGCAGCAAAACGGCTGTGCATGAGGTGTCAAGCCATGCACTGTGTCTGTTGCAGTACTATTCATACTGCTCCTAGAGGTTTTGGTTGTCAGCAAGATGATGATCTCTTTCTAGTAAAGATGTGTTTTTATTTATAATTCAACTTAGCATGCCTTTCACCTCCAGTTGATCTTCCCATGTAATTAACTTTTTATTCGAAATTACTGCACTTGTTGCTCTGTTATTCCTAGGGGCGCTGTGAGATGTCTCTCTTCGATGACTTCTCTGTATTTTTATTATAATTTTTCTTAGCTCTAGTGAACTGAGGGTACTACATGGTAATATCTATTTCAGGATGACAATGTGTTAAGGAGAAATTAAATAATTTTTTAACAGCTTATGTATATTGATTCAACCTAATGTAGCCTCAGTATTAAAGACTTGGGGTCACTGGATGTATGGATTGTATGCCAGAAGACCACATTTTATATCCATGTTTATACACTTAAAACCTGAACCCCTGGCAGATATTACAAACACAGCTTAGCCTAGATATATTTGCGTTTAAAACCAAATGTACTTATTTTAATATAGAACTAGCATAGATATGTGAATCTGTTCTTATGTTGGCCTCCTTTTATTCCTATGCAAATAACTAACTGGAAGGAGGAATGGCAGCTCTCTGAGCCAATGACTGTTTTAGTGTTTTGCCCAGTACTGTCAGTGAACACTTAGATGGAGGTCATTCTGACAGCTAAATCAAATGTCAAATGTATTCAGTCCCAAGTATGTGGAAGCACAGTTTTCTACAGACATCTATACTTTTGGCCTCAGCAGCATCTGTTAAGATATCGATGCAACCTAAGCCTTCAGGTTCACTTTAAAGAGGGAGGGACCGGCTCAAAAATAAGCAGAGAAAAATACATGATCAAGTTTTGGTGAATAAATGATTGGAAATGGTTAAAGAGTGAAAAAGCAATTTGAGCAAAAAAAAACTTCAAACACTTGTTTTCATTGCCAGTTACTAAAATTCTTTTGACACGAAAGTAAGCAAAGGATCCACTTGTAAAAAATAAATAAAAAGGACTTCTAGTTTAACCGATGATGGCAAGATCATCTGTATATAATAGTCTGTAGTGCACTCTGTGTTTGTTTACAAATGGGGTGCTTTTTTTGTACACTCCACTGTTTTCTGGGGTGTAAATTATTCTCATCCAGCAGCCTCCGAGTAGAAACATTTGTTGCTACACCTAGTTAATGTCCTCAATGACACTAGGTTTTACTGCTACTTTCTGTTTATCTGGGAGAGGATGCACTACTTCCCTCTCTGGGGGCCTGTCCCATTTCCTTCCAGGTGATAACATTGGGTGTTTGACAATAAATTAGGTCACTCCTTTCCTTCTCCAACAGAGTTTTTGTTGGTGACTAATGGTCAGTATTTCCCTTATCGTGTGTGTGGCTTAACCCTCTGTCATTAAATCATCATAACCTTTATCTATCATCCTGTGCTTTGATAGCACCCATGTCACAAACCCTTTAGTTGCTGAAAGCTTTTTGCCCACATTGCTACAAAATGGAGAGGACTGTGGTATGTTCTGGTACAAACTTGCAAATTGCTTTTTATTCAAGCAGAAATTCAAAAACAATGCACTTAATTACATGTTCTCTCTGTGCAGTGCCTCCTGTTTTTCATGTTAAGCCATCGAATACTCATGCTCATGAATCTATGGACATTGTGTTTGAGTGTGAGGTCACTGGAAAACCCACACCTGCTGTCAAATGGGTTAAGAATGGAGACATGGTTATTCCAAGCGATTACTTCAAAATAGTGGTGAGTTAATGGATTTGCATAGTTGTTGTCTGGCCTAATTATTGTAAGTATGGCTATCACAAAAAGAAAACATGAAACTGGAATCATTTTGCTATGATATAAACAAAAAAAGAAAAGCAAATTTAATTTACAGTAGTGTAGTGTAGTCAATTGAACTAACATGATGGAAGCTTTTGTTAAACGGTTTCTGCTCTTAAAACAAGCAAATTGAGATCATCTTTAGATCTCTGGGGGACAAGGACAAAACACTAACCAGCTGGTATGAACACCCTCATTTTGTTCCTAACTCTGGTCAAAGAAACACATTAATTGCAGTATTCTGTGATTGGAACTGTTGTTTGGAAAAAAATGATTCCGCTCCTCAGGTTAACAGTTCAGGAGTGTGGGGTTCAAGCAGAATGATTCCTACAATCCATAGGCATAACAAATTGGTTGTTTGCTTTGTTGTTGAAAGTAGAAAAAAAATGATAAAGCTTTAGGCAAAATAATGCTCCTGTGAAGAGCAATTCATCAAATTGGTATGGAGATATTTGAGTGTAGAAATAAAGGTCATAATGTGACCGGGAAGGTAATCGGATGTTCTTTAATTGCAAAGTAGAAAGAGGTGAAGCCTTTTTCCATGGTAGACTGTTCATCACAATTTAGTTGCCTAACTGAATAAGATCAGTGAAAGCTAGAAGTGACTGGTGCTGTGGGTTATTAAGAATCATTGCTTCTTGATCCAGTGACTTCCTTAAGGCTGTATTGGTTTAGGTGTACTCCTTTCTGCTCTCCCTGGAAGCTTGTTAGACAGCACTATTGGCAATGCTCTTGGTTTTTTTGCTGACGCGAAGCATAATAAGTTGACATGACATAGTGTATGGTATTTTTTTTTATAAAATAGACTTTTGGAAACATTGCCTGCATAGACAATGTTCGGTGGGTAAAAACCAGTCATAGTGGTGAAATAAGCTGCTTTAACACACTCTCGTGAATTTTTATCCTGGAGGGGGTAATCGGAGAGTAAAGCTTTAGAATTTGTTATCTAATGACATTATTTAGCTGCCAGATCATGAGGTGCTGTAGCTGCTGAATGACTTTCTATAAAAGAATTGTGATACAAATAGGCAAAGTTCTATTGGGTGAATATACATGCCTATAAGGAGGGTAAGGTGAAAAGATGCCCCTGGCATCAGCCTTTTTTGGGGGGGAATAGACAATAGCAATTGACCGGGAAGAAGCTCAACCAGGACATTTCTGCATTGGTCAGAGCCTGTGGATATACACATTTCCTGATCAGACTGTAACTGGTTGTATTGAGCAAATATTTAAAGTGTTAGTGACCCTAAACTCGGGAGTTAAATCTTAAAAATGCATTAAAGTACACTATTAACAAAAATGTCTCTTATTTGTGTATCACTCGGCTGTAGAACCTCAAATCATCTGTGAATTGGTGCTGGCACTGTCCGTCCTTCTGGAGAGTGGCTACTTTTATCCTCCATGGTCTCTGTGTGTTTTGTAAGGTAGCCACTGCTCCAATCTCACTCCCGTGATGGACTACAATCTCACGTTCAGTTTAATTTCTATTGAGATTGTAGTGTATCACAGGAGTGAGCTTGGAGCGGTGGCTACTTTACAACACACAGGAACCATGGGGAACAAAAGTAGCCACCCTCCAGAAGGAAGGACTGTGTCCGCACCAATTCAGTGATTTGAGGATCTACAGCTGAGTGATACTTTAATGCATTTTTAAGATTTATCTCCTGAGTTTAGTGTCACTTTAAGCCTGTCTGCTTTGTATGTAAAATTGATGTCTTTCCTTCTTTAGGATGATCATGATCTACAAGTTCTTGGACTGGTACGCTCAGATGAGGGGTTTTATCAGTGTATTGCTGAGAACGAGGTGGGAAATGTGCAAGCGGCAGCTCAGCTCATAATTTTAGAACCTGGTAAGTGTGAATTAGAAAGCGTCCTTCACTGTTTGGGGCTGCCATGCATCTAGACCCTCCTTATCTGAGAGTTCCTGCATCTAATTTTTCCCACATTTCTACAAATAATAAATCAGGCCATGCTGGTGGCATATTTTATTTTGTTGCCTTGATGAATATTCGCTCCGTTACATCATTGTGTCTTTGACCTTTTCTGTTATTGTAAAGGTCATTATATAATCATTGCCTGGTAGTCCCTCCTGTGGAGAATTACTCCAGTGACTTGCGCCTAGTTTTGTTGATCCCCGTTTACCTTTTTTTCTGGTCCACCCTTCCACTGCCCCCTGCTCAGCATCCTCTTCTCTGTGCGTCATACGCCCTGCTGATTTCTGGGTCATGGAAAAATCCCTGTGACATTAAGGTTATCATCCTACATTGAAGTTGATCTGCAACTCTTACTAAAGTTCAGACACATAAAATGGCAAAAATAATTTCCCATTTCAACTGCTGTAATAAATTTTACATTGTAACTCAGATTGTACAATTATTTATTTGTAATGCACTCCCCATGTACAAGTTTATTTTCTTCATATCGTTTTAGAGCCTGTGCATGGAGTTGTATTTTTGAATGATGCACTCTTCCCTTTTCTAAAATAAATGAATAACCAGTATTTGAACATTTTTATTAAGTTATTGTAACTTTGTGTTTCTCATATTTGAATGGTAATATTTAAATTGCTATACTTTTGTAGCTAATAACTTATATATGAAAAATGGGTATTAAAAACAATTTTTATAACCTATTTCAAAAACTTGTTTTTTCCTGGTGTTTTTTTTTTTTTTTAAAAGCGGTAGAGCAAATTGATATTAGGCTGATTGGTATTGTTGTCTATGCAGTAATGTCTAAAAATCAACAAATCCCTTTTATTGGTGGTAGAGAATTATAGAAAATATGGGAAAGTGGAAGATTGTAACATTTTAAAGTTTTGCAAGTGGATACGTTGACCCACTGATAGCCAAGGCATGTGTAGTGTGCTTGGCCATACTATTACCTTGGTCAGTCATTGGGTAGAATTTTATGTTTTGCATGTTTGTGGGCAGCAAAGCCAGCCAGTTGTGACACTGTAAGCTGATTAGAGGTCAAGACTCAATTAATCCACAGGCACTGACATTTGTTTGACTTCTTATCACTGAGGGTGTCCTTCTCATTGGCAGTCTGCCCATGTCTGCATGGAGGCTGTGCCCGGTTTGTTTTGTTTATTTTCTGTTCTTGTTTTTCGCTTTTCGTGTCTGTGTGCCTGTGCTTGTCCTCCTCTCCCTCCTCCCATTTACCTTTGTCAAGGTGTTACCATCCCAACCTCTCCTGCCCCCTCACTGACCCATGCCACTGCTCACCATGTAGCTGCCACACCAGGAGGCCCTCTTCCATCATCCCCGCGGGATGTCGTGGCCTCTTTGGTGTCCACACGATTCATCAAGCTGACATGGCGTGTACCTGCGGATGCTCATGGAGAAAATCTCACTTACCAAGTCTACTACAGCAAGGAGGGAATGAACAGGTGAGGTTTCTCTTATTTAAAATGCTGCAATAGATTATTTTCCTGTATTTTACATATGGTTACACAGCAGAGATGCCCCACTGCTCATCATTATAGTAATCCTAAGGGAGTCCAACAATAGTGTAATTGTTTTTACTGTTCTTTTGTACTTCCGGCATATCTCTCCTTTTTATACCAAAATGCCACCTCTTGTTTTCCTGTCCATCTAATGTTCTTATTCAGTTACTCTCTAACAAAGTAGCTACTCTCTAACAAAGTAGCTAAAGACTCCCATTTTCTTACCACCTACAAAATAAAATCTGTTTAAGTTTTCGGCAAGATCGATAAAGGGTCAAATCTCCTCAAAGATTTTCCTCTCACTTTCTGGGGTCACTGGGATTATTAATCTCGCCTAATCTATTCAAAATTTAGAAGGATAAAAGTAAGTGTCCCACCTTTATAACTATTTTACAGTAATAGAGCAAGTTTACGTAAAATTTGTGTGACATGCAGTTACTAAACATATGATCTAGCTGTCATTTTAAAGCACATTAGCTTCCTGACACCTGGGATTTCCCCACCCATAATTTACTATAAAAATATGGCCGCAAAAATGCATATTGATCTTTTTTTATGATTGTGTATTTCATTTATACATGTAATGAGTATGCTTTGCTATTTAACTAATGCAGAGAGCGTGTGGAAAACACCAGCCGCCCTGGAGAGTTGCAGGTCACCATTCAAAACCTTCTGCCAGAAACAGTCTATTACTTTCGCGTTGTGGCTCAAAATAACCATGGAACTGGGGAAAGTTCTCCTCCTCTCAAGGTGGAGACACAACCTGAGGGTAAGATGATATGCAAGCACAAATATGCACATGTGGCCCATTGCTTTGGATAGTCTTGCTTGCCAGCCTATTTCTCAGGCTTGCATTTTGGTGTGGTTTACAGCATCTGAAATGCATCAGACGTCTGGCACTGCTATGTAAATTAGCCCTCATTTCTAACGTTTGTTCAGGTTCCTTGATTGGCATATCAATTTAATCTCCTGATATACTGTGCTCTGAACACAGAACCTATTCATTAACCCATAATATGCTTGCCACTGTAATACATGTTCCCATATATCCTCACTTGCCTTTCAGACGCCAAATTTTTCTAGATCCTCCACTCAAACCTCTTCCAGCCTGTTTTTCTGATTTAAAGAGCTTACAGATGTCACAGAACAGTCCCCCCTCTCTGACTATACTACATGACTATGGTGGAAATGCCTCCTCCCCGTGTTTGTTGTGCGGGGGTAAATTGATCAGCTCGGTTGGATTTTTCCCTGCTGCTGTTTCTCTGAGAGTCTGGTGCTGAGGATATCTGCTTACTGTTCCCCATCCCTCTACATATGCAGGCTTGCTCAATGTGAACATGCCATTTTTATTTTTTTTTGTACCACAGAAAGATTGTTCAGTTAGATTTTGTGTGATCCAGCTTCTGAGTCGGTAAAATGAGTAAATAGTTCTATTTAAGAATTTTGACTTATTTATTGTTGGCAGTCTGTTTGCATTTTGGGCTGTATATCCATTCTAAATACTCTTGGCCCCCATTCTCGTCAACGTGTTGCATGTAATTTAGAAACCAGGTTCATTAGTCTTGCCTAGCTAAAGCTCCCGATGTTTTTTTACCAAATCTACTGTAGTGCTACCATAGTTGGGTTATAGGAATAGTGTAATGGATGACAGCTATGCATCACAGACCGACAAAAAATGTATTTTGCTAGTAGTTATGCTAGGGCTGTTCTTCAGGGTTACCTAAGAGACAGTATGTAAATCTAGGCATACAACATCTCTTGCATTACATTAGAGACAAATTCTCAATTTTGTAGTTTGAAAATCTAAGATAACATATTTGGAATTGGAGAGGTTAGACTGCGCATATCTTGGATCCTGGGAAGTTCAGTATACAGTTAAACAGAAAGAGTTCATGTTCATCTCAACATATAATAATAATTATGCATTGTTTGGAGTTTAAATCCGACAGAGTTAAGGAAGAATTACAATTGCAGGCACATTCTTTGTATGAGCTGTCAATAATTGTTCCACTTTTATTAGAAGTGAAGTCATGGCCAGGGTTCAGGTATCCTGATTAAAAGCTACTTCACCTTTTAGAGTCAAACTGTAATCCTTCAGATTAAGTGATCAAGTGCCTTTGTGGCTATATTGAACAGAAACCATCAAACCATGGAGCACTTCAGCACAGTAGAATGGACATGATATATTTTAATACCCTGGACACCCCAAAAGTCCAGGATGGACTCGCAGAGAAGAGCAAATGTTGGCATAAAGTAAGAAATATTAGAAAGTTGGTGCTTTAACATGTTAATATTGAAGGGATTAATCTATTTTGTAGCTGTAATGTGAGATATTCTAGGTTTGTGAACAGAATACACGTCAACCGATAGGTGTGAGCTAAACTCATCATTTAAGCCTATGTGTTAATAACTCATGTCAACACCTATTGATGGTTGACATTCATGTAAACGTGTGTGGGCACTTTTAACTAAAAATGTATGTCAACGTTCATTGACATGCCTTGCTGTGCACATGAGAATGTATTCGTGTTAATCCGGCCTTAAAGTTCCTTGTAGATACTGATGCTTGCATGAGGGTGTTGCTCTGTCATCCAGCATTTTATACATGACTGGTAAATAAGCCTTGTGCCCATCCCTTGTTTTTTATGTATATGGTATTTTTTGGTTTAGTATGTTAAGCACCTGAAAAAGGGCTAGATTACATCCAATACATTGTGCAGTGTACATATGGATATGTGTTTGTACAATAGATCGGATAACCATATATGGAGGACTTGCATTAGTGGACTGAGTTTGTCACTTTTAATGTATGAGCGTTAGTTGGAAACTATAGATATTTTTTAAGGTCAACACTGTTAAGCTGGACATAGAGCCTACGACTTTCGTTGTGCGATGGTTGTAAGATAATTAAAATCTCGTACGATCTGCTCATCTTGGACAGACAGATCGTACTTGCGATCATCGCAAGCCCTCCCCGCTGAGGGGGCTTCCGATTCCAATGCTGGAGGGCAGTGTGCTCTTGCGCACACCGGCCAGTTCGGCATTTGTCTTCCGAGGACGCCACTAACCCACCGGCAGGTTTTCCAGCGTGCCCGGAAGACAAAAGACGTGCGACGGTACAGTAGAAACGGTCGCGCGCCTTCCATACCTGCCGATTATCGTACGATCGCGGGATCACCCGCGATTATCGTACGATAATCGGCATGTGTATGGGCACCTTAAGTCTAAAATGTTGTTGAAAACACTAAACTAGTAATGCAAAACTATGTTTTCTATGTGACCATTTTGCACATTAAAGCCCCATTAAGAACAGACCCGTTGCAAACCCTTTTCCAACAGATGCCAACAGAAGGTAACCCAGAAAATGAATGGGTGTGAATGAAACCATTTCACTCTACTTCATTCTGCTCCGTTACGTTGCGATGAATTAAGTGGAGCATGCACTACCTTTTTTTGAGTGCAACGTAATGGAATGTGTCAAAAATGGAATGGAACTAAATCTAAAAAAATACATAGAAGTTTACCTACTCGGGACATGTTAATCAAAATAAAGGTTGGCAAAAAAGAAAAAAAAACCCAATGGAATTGAAGTCAACGGAGGTTGAAATTGCAAGTAAAGGGGCCTCCATTGACTTGCATTTTAGGTCTGATTTTGGTGTGAATGAGCCCTAAAAGCTGTGTACTCATCATTATACTGGACCTAATATACATTGTGTGCACAATTATTAGGCAAGTTGTATTTTTGAGGATTCATTTCATTATTGAACAACTACAGTGCTCTGTCAATACAAAATGTTAATAAACCACAAACCTGAATGTTTAAGAAAGTAAAAGTGTTGTTCTGGCTTTCTTAGGAGAATATCTGTGTGCACAATTAGGCAACTATAAGGCCCTGTTCACACCAAATGCAGAGCAGATCTGCATACGTTTCTGCAGACGCAGTGCAGAAACGTGGGTTTTGCTGCGTTGATGCGTTCCGGGCCGTTTTTTGTAAAAATGAAATAAGAAAATGTTTAGTTTAAAATCTGCTTTCAGTGCGTTCCAGGGCGTTCACATGCGTTTTGTATGCATTTGCATGCGTTCCAGAGCAGTTCCACAGCAGTTTTTTTGCCTGCTCTGGACCTACTCTGGAATGCTGCGATGTGAACTGGAGCTAAAAATACCATTGGAATACATTGGACGCAGTTTTGCTTCGGTCTGTAACTGCTCTGCTCCTGGAACGCGCTTGTTGTGAACAAGGCCTTAGTGTGCGGGATTATTATGCAACTAAATGGAAAACGAAAATTTTCCCATCTCACTTGTTTATTTTCATCTATTAAAGTGAGAATAATAAACAAACAACTCAAAATTTACAAATAAACACTAGACTTTATAAAAAACTAAATCAGTGACCAATATAGCCCCTCCTTCTTTTCAATAAGTCATGAGCCTTCCATCCATGGAGTCTGTCAATTTCTTAATCTGTTGACGATCAACCTTTTGTGCAGCAGCAACCACGGTCTCCCACTTCGATGCATGCGTTGGAGCATTGTCCTGTATACATATCTTGGGCTTCTTGAAAGATGCAGACTTTTTTTCCTGTACCACTGCTTGAAGAAAGTGTCTTCTAAAAACTGGCAAGAGGTTTGGGAGTTGATTTTGAGTCCATCTTCAACCCGAAAAGTTCCAACTATCTCATCTTTATTAACTGCCCACGAGTACCCCACCTCCACTTTGCTGGCGTCTGAGTTGCAGTGGAGCTCTGTGCCCATTACTGATCCAGCCACGGGCACATCCATCTGGTCGGTCAAGAGTCACTCTCACCTCAATCAGTCCATAAAACCTCTGAAAAATCTGTCTTCAGATATTTCTTAGCCCAGTCTTGACGTTTCAACTTATGTGTCTTGTTCAGTAGTGGTCGGGTTTCAACCTTCCTGACCTTGGCCATGCTTATGAGCACTGAACACCTTGTACTTCTGGGCACTCCAGGTTGCAGTTCTGGAGGAAAATGGGCTTCACGTTGGATTTTTCTCAAATCTTTGGCAGTTAATTTGCATAATTCTTTCTCAACACGTTTCTTGCGACCCTGTTGACTATTTGCAACAAAACTTTTGGTTCTGTGATCATGCCCCAATATATTAGCAATTTCAAGAGTGCTGCATCCCTCTGAAGGACTTTTTACAATGTTTGACTTTTCAGAGTCGGTTAAATCTCTTTTTTTGGCCCATTTTGCTTGAGGAAAAGAAGCTGCCTAATGATACCTTGATATTGGGTGTTGATCGCCTAAGGCCACCCCCTCCCTCATTACTCAAATATCACCTGATATGCTTAAATCGAATAAGCCTTTAAGCTTATACAGCTTTGAGTTGGATAATATGCATAAAAATGGTGATTTGGTCAGAATACTCACCTAATTGTGCACACGCTGCATGGTTAATATAAATGAGAATGCGTGGAAATTCAGTGTAATTACTCTGAATTTAGGTCTAACGTCTTTAATGTTGCCATTGTGCCATAAGAATTGACTACATTTGAATAGTGTTGAGTTTGATAATAGCACATCATGCAGTGTGTGAAGCAGTAACTGTTATCTGCATCTTTTTTTTTAATTACTACATTTAAAAAAAATGTATTTTACAGTTCAAGTCCCCGGTCCTGCACCAAATCTGAAAGCCACATCCATCTCCCCAAGCTCTGTTAGTGTCAGCTGGGAAAAACCACTGTCAGGAAATGGAGAAATACAAAACTACAAGCTCTACTACATGGAGAAAGGTGCAGGAAATGAGCAGGTATGTATTAAGTGTGTATGTGCATATACAGCTTATCTAATGGTGCCTTTTTTACATTTAGAATAGAGTAATACAAAATCTTGAAGTATATGCCTTTTTTATCCCTGTTTAGTACTCGGCTATTGTATGAGTCTGATTATTCTGTGTGTTCACCATCCCCCTTTACATTTGCAGGATATTGATGTGGGAGGGCTTTTGTATACAGTCACTGGACTGAAGAAATACACAGACTATACATTCAGAGTTGTGGCGATTAATAAACATGGGCCAGGAGTGTCAACACAGGATGTCATTGTCAGGACTCTGTCTGATGGTTTGTGTTTACGTTTTCATGACTTTAGATTTGCATCTCTTTTTCTTTGTGCTCTTCCACTCGGCAGTCTTGCCCATAAGCACTACATTTCTCTTTGTCATTTGCTTATATTCCAGTACCCAGTGCGTCTCCTCAGAACCTGACCCTAGAAGTGCGCAGCTCACAGGTAACCCCTGCTTTAGTTCACTCTCATGGTTTTAAGCTGCTCATACATTTCTGCTTTTTTTTAATCAAGTGCCTGCTGTTTATTTCATATATAAAAGTATTGCTGTATGAGGGATTCACTCTGTACCCATAAACCTGTAAATGGTTCTGTTTTAGGACATTAGTCTTGTTTATGGATTATAATCCTTTTATGTTTAAATGGTTAACTCAAGTGGTGCTGTGCATTCATTTAATGCATGGCTCTTCCTGAGAACGCTCAAAGTGCATTTGTAGCTAAAAATGTTGTGTATTATGTTAAAATGGCAGCTGAATATAGTAATGTTTAGGGATGCACCAAAATGATTTTGTTAGACTGAAAACTAAAAATTGTCAGGCCAAAACCAAAAATTGCTTTTTTCCCATTTTAAAAATGTTTTAATCATGTTTTTTAGTTTACTGTTAGGAGCTTTGGGGAAATATCAGGGGTCTAAACAGAACTCTAATATTTGTCTTTTAAAATAGCAGAAGAGATTGAGGACACAGAGTCCTTAATCTCATTTTCTGCAGCCCCTGTTATGAATGAATAGGAAGACTCTAAACTGAGTGCTCCTGTCCATTCATAAACTGTGAAAATATCAGTTACTGTGTTCACAATCATGAATGAACAGGAAGTGATGTATAGCACCTCCTGTTCATTCATAACTGGGGACACATAGTAAGCATACTATAGCCTCAGTTATTTAGAAAACACTCAGTGATCATTTCTGATCGCTGAGTGCTTGTAACCCACGCTCCATCCTGACGTTATTGTACTATAGGCACTTTGCCCGTAGTACCATTTTCGGCTGAAATTTCGGTGCATCCCTAGTAATGTTGTCTACTATGTCTAACTTAGTTAAAACTAGGAATTTTACACTTTTTGCTTTTGGTGGCTAATAATGAAAATTTCTGTTTAAACTGTGAGCAGGAAACAATTATTACAGAGCACTGATATGTTTATAATGGTTTACCTTTTAAATGTTTAGAGCATCCTGGTGCAGTGGCATCCACCTCCTATGGGTACTCAGAATGGACAGATTATAGGCTATAAATTGCGCTACCGCAAAACTGCAAGAAAAACTGAAACTAATGAGATCCTGGTAGACAACCAACTCTCACAAGTTGTTACTGGTGAGTGCTGCCACCTCTCTGTTTCATCTCTGTTTTCATGTAATGCCTCTGACACTTAATTTTTTTCTCTCCAGGTCTAGAGAAGAACACAGAATACAGTTTTCGTGTTGTGGCCATGACTGTAAATGGGAGCGGACCAGCCACTGACTGGGCTGCTACAGACACATTTGAAAATGATCTTGATGGTGAGGGAGCTTGTTTGTGGAGATGTTACCTTAAAAAGGAATGACATGCAAGTTATAGTATTCTGGGTTGTTCCCCTTAAAAGGGGTCAGGAGTGACAGTTCATGCAGTCTGATGGAAGGTGTAAAGTTGGGAGGCAGGTTTTGCACCAGTTATGCCACAGTGGGGAATATCAGGGTTGCGATGGGCTTTATATCTGTTCAAATCTGGTGCATACGTTTCTCAACATTTAGGTTGTGTTCACAGTGTTTACCTCTTCTTTTTTTTGGGCTGTCGTACAGGATTGGTTGTGATGCAATTTTGTGTGATATTTTATTGTGCATTGCTGTGCAGCTGTTGTATTGAAAGTCCTAGTTGGAATACTCCCTTATATTGTGTTTTTGTTTCCTTAGAGTCTCGTGTTCCTGACATGCCGAGCTCACTTCATGTGCGTCCATTGGTAACCAGCATTGTTGTTAGCTGGACTCCCCCAGAAAATCAGCATCAGGTGGTTGTCCGTGGATACGCTATTGGTTATGGACTTGGAAGTCCTCATGCCCAAACAGTTCGCGTTGACCATAAGCAGCGTTACTACACCATTGAAAATCTGGGTAAAGTATCATGTGCTGCACGTATTCTCTATTGCATATTTTGTCTTCTACATGCAAACTGTAAACTAGGCCACCACAAATTGATCCTTCATGCTTAAGGTTTAACTATAGCGAAGTGCCTCCTTTAAGTTAGTAAATGCTTTTTTATTCAGCTATTGATCACTTGCTGACCAGAGTGTTAAACCCCCCTTCCTGTCCAGACCATTTTTCAGTATTCAGCACTGCGGTACTTTGACATTTATTCGGTCATGCAACGCTGTAATGAAATTAATTTCATACCATTTTTTGGGGACAGATAGAGCTTTCTTTTGGTGTTATTTAATTACCACTGGGGTTTTAATTTTTTACTATTTAACAAAAAAAAGGACCAAACATTTTAAAGAAAAAAAAAACAACTGGCAGACCTCTGAATACTTGTATTTAAACAGCCATCGCCGGCTGTTTAAATTTTTTGTAGTTTTCCCACTCTTGTGTGGGGATGGGAAAGGACGTATTAAAACGCCCACCCGCATCTACAAGGCTCCCGTCAGCCCGTTTATGTATGGATGCTGGACGGGAGGTGGTTACATACCTGGTAATCTCGATAGTCCATTGGCATTCCGTCTGCTGGGTGGCAATACTTCATATTTCGACCTGCAGTAAAGTCAATGCAGCATTGTCTGCCTTTGCAGCTGTGTTTTTATGTAAGCTGAGAAGGACTAAGATATTGGGGTTGTTGGCCTGGTAGTCAGCGCAGGACTGGTATTAAGCAGAGCATGCTGCGTCTGAAGGAAGTTATACAGGGGGCACCTTCTTAGATCCTTCTCTTGGTACTGGTGAAATCAACACCCCAGCAGCCCTGGTTTGACATCATGGGCCCAAGAGGAGAATTTCTACACTTGTACAGAAGGTAAATAGAAAAAAATAACTGCAAGTTGGGCCATATTCAAGGGGAGAGGACTTTGCAGTCTCAAAAAATATTTGGCCAGAAAAAAGATGACTAAGTTTTAATGCCGTGTCCACATGTATAGCAGCATTGAGAAGTTAGTCTGGAATAGGTTGTCCTCTGTTATAACAGTGCCATCGTGTGGACACACTTTTCTTTTCCTTCATTAGGTTTATCTAATGAACTTAGGCAGTAACATCCATATAGAACATGTGCTTTCTGTACATCTCTCTGATAAGAGTACTCAAATACTTATTTTGTTTTAATATAATTGAAATAGAAGGACTGTAGTGTTAAGAGAATCCCAGAGAAGTCTTCATATAGTTATTTACATTTGCAAAGTGGGAAAACATAAGTTGTTTTCATGGGATTAAGGGGGACATGTAAACCTCCTTCTTTTTAAAAGGCTTTTGACAGAAAGAATGCTAAGCATTTAATGCAGTAATCTTAGATTGTGTGGTACTGTTGGGTGTGAATAGTGAGTACCCTTGTTAGAAACTTACTTTTAATTTAGGCTGCTTTTCTGTCCTATAGAAATACCGGATAAACCAAGTAGAAGCTGGAAATTGGGAAAAAATATGTGATTTAAAAGGGTTTTTTTTTTAGGCACAGGTTTAGGACACAGAGCAAAAAACCTAAGCTGGGTTCACATGGAGAGTATTCTGGCTGATTCAGAAGGAATGGGACGAAATTTGATCTATCGGTGGCCCTGTCCTCATTACAAAAGTCGAATCATTAGATCATCTTTTGTCAGAGGGAAATTTGTCGGCTAAACTGCTCTTGCAGCCAATCAGCTTCAAGCACTGTTTGGGTATTCTGACAGCAGCTGGTGCCACTGTTAGTATACAATGTACATAGCAGGAGATTTGTTCATGCATACTGTTGGCACTCATGGAGGAATTTCTTTTTTTCTTTTTTTTTTTTGCTTAGCCTCATTTTACTCTCTCTAGCCTATTTCACCTCCACTTGTACACTTTCCCTTGAAAGTGGCAGTTTCTCTTAATGCTGACCCTGTACTTTACAATTTGATTGTAGAATCTGCTTTACATATACCAGCAAGGATTGGATACAAATGAATGGAATGTTTAGGCAGACTCTCGCATTACATACGTTAAATATAAAGGGAATTGGACAGATAATGTTTGTTTTATATGTTAAATTTCTTTTCAAAGAAACCATTTTATTTGTAAGCTCTACCTTACGGTTTTGTTAATCAAATAACATTTCCTGCTGATTCTTTAAATGCAGTTTTTTGTTTTTGTGACCCATGTAATGTCCCATTGGCTTTCCATATTGATGATTATATTTTAAGATATAAACCTTTGGTTGAAACTGTTGGTCCTTTCTTTGCAGACCCTAGTTCACACTATGTCATCTCCCTGAAGGCTTTCAACAATATGGGGGAAGGCATTCCTTTATATGAAAGTGCTGTGACCCGACAACACACAGGTAATTTTCATAATTCATATGTGTTCTGCTCTATTTTTAGGGCAACGAGAAGATATAAATCTCAGAATAGTTGTAGTTTGCTAATACTAACAATTTCTCTTCTTTCTCTCTCTCCCTTTTCTTCTCTTACTTTAACTATTAAACCTTTTCTTTGCTTTGTGTTTATTTTATTACATGCCTGGGGGCTCGCTGTGCGTAATGTATTTCCTGCATATTTCTCTATCATTTTGTGTTCTATATTCCATATGTTTCCATCCATTTCATCATTTTTTGTTTTGGCTAATTTACGCATGTGTTTTCACAATCTGTGACCTAGACACTTCTGAAGTTGATGTTTATGTTGTTCATGCCTCATACACACCAGTTCCAGAGCCCAGTCCCATGTTGCCCCCTGTGGGGGTCCAAGCCACCATCCTGAGCAGTGACACAGTGCGACTCACCTGGGCGGACAATTCTCTCCCTAAGAACCAGAAGATCACAGATGCACGTTACTACACTGCAAGATGGAAGACCAACATTCCAGCTAACACAAAGTACAAGGTGAGATGCTGATGAACCAAGTGTAATAAATTTGGAACAAGCACTCTGTATGTGAAAAATAAATGAAGCGCATGAATAATATGTTAGGATTAACATATTTATTTTTTTTTGCTGTTACTTCTCCACCTTTTCAGATGGCCAACAGTACAACACTCGGCTATTTGGTCACTGGCCTAAAACCAAACACCCTTTATGAATTCTCGGTTATGGTTACTAAAGGTCGACGGGCAAGTACATGGAGCATGACTGCCCATGGCACTACCTTTGAATCAGGTATCTTTTTTTTTTTTCTTTTTAAACTATACCATAGAACTTTGCCCAGTTTTATGCAAAGTATCAATATACTATATTTGATTTTCTAGTGCCCTCCTCACCTCCTAAAGATGTGACTGTTATAAGCAAAGAAGGCAAGCCACGCACTATTATTGTGAACTGGCAACCTCCATCAGAAGCCAATGGCAAAATTACAGGTGACGTGGCAATAATGAACTGAGGTTTTTTCCCCCTTTTCTTCCCATTTTGTTTACATGTTTGCAATATATAGGCACACACTAGAACAGGGCTGGTTTAGTAAAATAGGGTCAGAATTCAGTGTATACCTATCAGAATTTCATTAGAAAAATACAGTTTCATTAAAGCAGAATTCCTTCATAATGTAAGAGGCGGCTCCCTATAAGCCACATACTAATAAAACTATTCTGAAATGTTGTTTGAATACAGCTTGTCTGTCTTTCAGTTTCCTATAAATCCTTTACACAGTAAGACTCAGGCTAAGAGGGGGATAACCATCGATATGAGCCAACCAGGCTTGTTTATTGACGGTATTGTGCAATAAAATGCAATCTAAAAGCAGGAATGTGGAGGAGGAGAAAGCAGAGAGATTACCTCATTGGTGTGCTGCTGCCCTTTTATTGTCTAATCTGTAGCAGAGAGGTGTAGTGCTGTATTCCTTAACGGAGGAAGTGGTGTCATTATCCTGGGTATTTCTGTGACATCATTGTCCATTAAAAGGACTCATTCATTTTAACTTATGGAGTGCTGGTGACCTATTTTCTTCAATATTATCCTGGGTTATACATTATGTGAATCTCGAACACAGCACTCATGCATACACACATTTATTTCTGTTTTAGTGTACATAAAGAGTAGAAAGGTGTTTTGTGTGACTTTATAACTAACTTCCATTGCCCAATATCACTCGTTCACAGCAGCACTAGAGAGAATGACAGGTGCACACCGGCCCGAGCCAGTCTTGCTTCAGCATCAGCAGTTACTCATAGAAGAAACAAAGTCCGGTCACACACCGCAAGCTTCGCTGAAATGTTTATTCATAGCTCAAGTTCAATCATAGAAATTGACTAAGCCCATTATTGGGTGAAACACGTCAGAGTGAAGAGGATCCACGGCAGGACGATGTGTACCTGTGTGCTACAATAACCTTTTCAGAGAAGCTTGCAGTGTTTGATCGGACTTTTTCTGTGGCTTTATGATGCATCAGCTTTAAACACACCGTTGCGTTTCCTCATTTGAATAATAGATATGCTAGCGTAATTTCAAGTGCTTGAAACTTGGTTGATTTTTGCTTTCTGTCCTACAGGCTACATTATATGTTACAGCACAGATGTTCACGCGGATCTCCATGACTGGGTAATAGAGCCAGTTGTTGGGAATCGTTTGACCCACCAAATTCAAGAGCTGACTCTAGATACTCCATATTACTTTAAGCTCCAGGCAAGGAATTCTAAAGGAATGGGCCCCATGTCAGAAGCTGTGCTCTTCCGTACACCAAAAGGTGAACAGGCCTAAAGAATATACTAATCTGCTGCAAATTAATCTATAAACTTATTCCTTTGTAATGTTTAGGAGCTTACTGTATTTTGCATGAATCCCTTGTTTCTGACCTTTTTATAATTCTTTAATGTCCAGAACCAAAGTGGTCAATTCACCCTTGATCCTCACCCCGTACAAATCTATATGCAAGAACAACCCACGTTCCACCAACATTGTCTTTGATCTATAGTCCACATATAACCATATTCACAAAGGTCTCCCCACCCCTAACATATGCCTCCATCCGGAAAAATAAATTTGGTGTCCCTAGCCAATAAGGACTGAAAAGAGATCTGATCTTCCACAGCTAAAATCTGTCAACTCCTGTGCTGTTGAACTTCAGAGTGCTGATGGGATGGTATCTAGTTCTGACATGCATCTCTATACCAGGCTTACTCCCCTGCTTGTTTTAGGGGATGTCAATTCATTGTTTTTTTTATCCATACATGGCAGGACTGCTCTGTAACTAAAAGATCTTGGGCTAAGGTCTGCCAACTTATAGGAATATTATTAGGATGTTCCATTACCCAAAACCTGGCGGAGGCACTCAACAAAAAGCACTGGAATGCTTGACCCCTGAGACCTGTCTAATTACACATGTGTTTATGGTGGTCAAGCTAAAGGTGCCCATACACTGCTCGATTCTCGTACGAGAATCACGGGAAATCCCGCGATCGTACGAGAATCGAGCAGTGTGAACGAAGACGTGCAACCGTTTCTACGATTTTCGGCTGGTTTCGAACGGTGCTCGGGAGACAAATACCGAACGGGCCGGTGTGTGCATATGCACACTGCCCGTTCAGCATTGCCGTCATCGGAAGCCCGCCCCTCAGGGGGGCGGGCTTGCGATGATCGAGAGTACGATCTGCCTGTCCAAGATGGGCAGATCGTACGTTTTTTTAATCACTTTACAACCATCGCAAGACTAAGGTCTTGTGATGGTTGTACAGTGTATGGCCACCTTAACACTGTCAAAAAATGACCATCCATTTTCCTGGGCTCCTTTCCTGAATACATATTTGTATGAAAAATTCACGCTATATTGGACCACTGGGTAACCTACTGTGTGCCTGCAGATTTTGACAGCTCTCTTCTTTCCCTTTGAGTCCTGTAGGCCCCTTCTTTATTTTATTTTTATTGACTGTTGAGGCCCCACCTGCCTCTTACCTGTACCTTCTCCAACTCCCTCCATCTATAACTTGCACTCCAACCCCCCAAGATGTGGGAGCAGAGGGGATGTGGGGGACAGTGGGAGCAGAGGGGATGTGGGGGACAGTGGGAGCAGAGAGTATGTGGGGGAGAGTGGGAACTCAACTGCTCTACTGAGACTCTCCGCTCGGGACATAAGGCTGGCACCTTGGGGCAGAGTGGTAGCACATTGCTGTATAATGTATTGCTGGAATTTGGAGTCCTCTATAGCTGATGCCATTCTGCATTGCTACATAATGTTTTGCTCGAAATTGGAGTCCTCTATAGTTGATGGTATTTTACATTGTTGTGTAATGCACTGTTAAGAGTTGTAGTACTCTATAGCTGATGGTATTATTCTTCAGTGGCAGAACTGCCAGGGTTACAGCGGTTGCAGCTGTGACTGGGTCCTGGGCACTCCACCGCTCCAATCATTAGTCTGTATTGTTTTAGAAAAACTGTCACATGACACAAAAAGAAAAAGGTACCGGTGAGTAGTTGAGGAAAAATACTCGGCCTAGGAAAAATAGTATCTGTGCATCCCTACTCCCGTCCATGCCCGTACCGAGGTACAGACATAGTAATATGGGTGTGAGACAGAGTTAATGGACTGCAAGTGCAGTGCATAGGCAGCTGTATGAGCTATGCCAATGTAATCAAACTCCTGACTGTCCATGGTCACTTCTGAAACATCTAGACCTACTGTCACTAGGGCCAATATTCCAGGTCCTTCTTAGTCCCTGGCTTTAATGGCCTGGTTGTTGAAGCCCAAGTCCTCGGGGACAGAGGCCTCTCCGATGCGGTCATCTACGCTTCTTAAGGCCTAACCTCTCATATGGTCTACAATTGCACCTGGAAGGCATATTTTGCTTGGTTTTAAACTAGGAAATTTCATCAGGGGAAGTTCTGCATGGGATGCATTTTATCCTCCTTCCTGTCCGGCTTGGACCTTGAGTAATGTCAATTCTCTTCCAAAGACCACTTGGGTCCTACCCCTTTGTGCAAGAGGTGGCCCATGTTATTCTGTCTGTATGTGTCTCAGTGACTTTCGTTGGACCTTATTCTGGTTCTGTCGGCCTTCAGAAGCCACACTTTAACTGCTATCCCTTTGCCTTTTACTCACTCACATATTGGCCTTCCTTGTAGCCATTACTTCTGCTAGGCGTGTTTTTGAATTTGACTTCTTTTGAACATTCTAGTGGTTCAAGAATTTAATTCCCTTTGTCCTAATATGTACGATCAAGAAAATAGGATTTCTTTTTTTGTCTTACCTGTAAAATCAGTTTCTTGACATATGTCACAGGAAACAGGACCATCTCTATATTGTGTGATCCACTCTGTACTGCTTGCTATAAAACTGAGGCAGGCTGGGAATAAGAAGGTCATGCAGGGCTGTCTTACAACTTTGATTGATTTGCCAGTGTCCAATCATCTGAAGGTAGCTGCATAATCTAGTGGTTACATTATTATACAGGTTTTGTTAAACGCCAACAGTTTACGCAGCGCTTTACAATATAGGAAAGACCATACAGTACAAGACAAGATGGTAAGAAGGGCCTTGCCTGTGAGAGCTTACAATCTACGAGACTATTTAACTCCCTGTGTCATGTGATCTACTCCAAGAAATTGATTTTACAGGCAAGACATAAATCTTGTTTTAAGTTACATTTCCAATTTGTGTTTTGGCAAAATTGTGCAAGTTCCTTTGCTGCTATGACTCAGTACCCATGGTATGCCTGCTTGGCATCCTGTTTTCAATTGAAGCTTTTATGCTTCTACTATTCAGCATCCCAGTGTGTACAGCTGGCCATACATTATGCAAACTTCAGCTGGTTCTTCAGGAACCGGACGAAATTTGCACAATGGGTGCTGCTGACGGAAATCCTTTCGGCCGGCATTGGAAAGGATGCCAATAGCGGCACGCACTGCAAATTTCGAATGAACGGAGCCGGCAGCCAATGACCTGCTGGCTTTGTTCGGGTATTGTGACAGCAGCCGGTGGCCACTGTTCGAATAAAAGGGAAACGGCGGGGATTCCTCGAACACTCATAAATGTTGATGCAGTCTGTTCTATTTTTTTTTGTTCAACCCGTGGGTTAAGCAAAAAAAAAAAATAGAACAGTATATGCACAGCTTAAGAAAAAGAAAAGCTTCAATGTATTGACAGATTCCCTTTATTGCAATTAAAGTGGAAAGAGCAACAACTGTGGTTTTCAGTGCAATAGGCACTTGAAGGTAACAACTGGGCTTTAGATCTAGGCTTATGACAGGTTCATTTTACTGTTCAAGATCAATCTCACAGCTCATTAAATGTAGACTTGCCATCTATATCAAATTAAAAGCTTTTTCTTTCCCTTTTATTGATCTAGAAAGATGCTCTAACTTACTGATTTTTTTATTTCATGACTCTTATTTTAACTCTCGCTGCCTTTTAACAGATTCTTTTATTAAACTCTTTACTGACCAGTCAAACTTATTTTTTTTATTATGCCTCCCTGTGGCAGAATCGACACCCTACATGCCTAACAACCAAGGTAATCATAATCTCTGTGATGTTAACTTTAAAAGGGGAATTGGGATGGTCGTGTCTAGACCTAGTACCTTTAATGTTTATTCCAAGGAAGAATTAAGCACTTTTAACTGACAGAGGGGCTGTTCAGTGCTTTACAGCTTTCAGCTCATTAATTTCCACATGAGAGCTGAGGGTTGTTTGAAGTGTCAGCCCTTATTAGAGATCTGCATTGCTGAGATGGAGGGGAGGTGCTGCCATAGATACATATTCATTCTAGGAGTATCTGCGGCTGCTCTTCCCTAACAACGAGCCCCTAAGTGCTCCGAGTCTATGGCTCAGACTTCAAGCAACCATCAACTCTCCTGTGGAATTTAATAGGCTGAGCATTGTAAATCACTGAAAAGTCTCACTATGCAAGTGTTAAGAGTTTAACATTTTCCTGAAGATCGTTTTTAATACATCACTTTAAACTTCACATACCATTTGTGATATGATAAAATGTATGTCTTCCAGCATCGGGTGTATCTGGTAAAGGAGGCCGCACTTCAGATCTAGGAAACAATGGTGGCCCGCCACTCGGAGGTAATTATCTTTCAGCTGCTTGTTACATATAGGACTTAAATGGATATATAGGCTTATTTAAAAACAGTTCATGTTATCGTAATTATGACCGCAAGTTAGAAATAGGACAACTTAGTGCACTACTTTTGATGGATGCATGGTTCAGGTAAATATGTAAGATGTAGTAAGTGTAGGTACAAGAAACACCAGCATAAGAGCTGGATCTTAGATTGTGTTACAGAGAACTTGGCAAAAGCAACATGTAGCAAATTGTGCTTTCGCTTTGCAGTGAATGCAAAAAATCTTGATGATACCTCTTGGACATAATTGGAACTCCAGGATTTTGATATCCTATCCCCGCACAGCAAGGGTTAACTGTTTGTTTAGTCTAGAGAGCGAAAACAAAGAAGAAATACTCAATTCTCTGTCCCATCTGGCTGCTAGACTGGTCCCCAGGCTCCTCTCCCCCAGGCTTTGGCAGTCTAAGGACCACTGACATCTGCCTGTTTACCGTGTTTCCCCGAAAATATGACACTGCCTTATATTTTTTTTTGGCTCAAAAAAACACACTAGGTCTTATTTTCGGGTTAGGTCTTTTTTCTTTTTGATGTACAACAATCCAAAATTAATGCAAATTCAAATTAAGTAATCCAAAATGGCAAACTCAAAAATAGGGTGATCAGGGTTGCCGTCCCTTTCCAAGAGCAATTTGCTAACCAATCGCTGGCCAGAATGAGCGAAGCGCACTTTCACTATCGATTCCTCACAGGCGGACTGCATTTGGCATCACTCCACCTGTGACAGGAGCCGGCGCTATAGAGGCAGCATCGGCTTATGCTGCTCTGCTCCCTCCGCTGCCGCTGGCTTCATTGGCACCGTTGATTCTCTCCGGCGGCTCTTCATGTTCCCCCTTATGCCACCACCGGCCCTGGGAAATGTCACAACTAGGTCTTATTTTCGGGGTAGGTCTTATATTTGAGCAATTCCCAAAAATAGTGCTGGGTCTTATTTTCGGAGTAGGTCTTTTTTTCAGGGAAACGGTGGTAATATACATATCCATACCACAGCCAGAGGGAAAAAGGAGAGAGGTGAGCGGTCACTGCAGCAGGGTCAGGTGAGTATTTCGTCTTTATTTTTTGCCGTAGAGAAAAATGAGCAGTTAACCCTTGCAGTGCATGGGTTAACTTTTTAAAATCCTAGCGTTCTTCTTTACCTAGATTTCCTGTAAAGGTTCAGGGGTTTTGCTAATGGTTTGACAATCACTTGTTTTACATATTGTGATTGCTTTCTTATGGTTGTTAAGTCACTGTTTTAAGTGATCTTAGGTGCGTAGGGGCACAGGGATACTGGCTAAGATTTCCTAACCCAGGGGAATAATTCCTATTGATTTAAAAAAAAAAATATGATTGTACAAACATAATACCTGTTAAACAATATGCTGGGATATGCATATGTCATTCAGCTTTTTATACAATCACAAACCTATAGGTTCTGTCACTTTGATTCTGTTGACACTAATTTTAATATTTAAGTATTTAAAATGATAAATTCTTTGTATTATTACCACGTGCTTCACAACATAACTTCATGCAAGGTTCACTTTTCTAAATGTGCCTCCCTCTTGTTAAAATGAAAATGTAAAACACCACCTGTAAGGAAAAAAGTTGTGTATTATAATTGCCTTTCCTCCAACGTACAAGGGGTGATTATATTATCTTCCATATGATATGAGATCCCGGGGAATGCCAAATGCTCTAAATATTGCAAAAACACACAGCAGCACATTGTGGGCAGGAGCCGGAGGAAAGATTAAGATACTATCCTTTTTTCTTTTTCTTTTTTTTTCCCCTTTAGTGGTTTTTTTTTTTTTACACTTTTAAATCCGTGTTTTAGCAAGGAGGTACATTTAAATTTGGATCTTACATGTTCGATTTTGTATTTAAACCCTAACAATGAAGTTCTGCTGTATTAAATATACAATTGAACACAATTTGTTGTATCTTTTCGATAACTGCAAATATATGTTGATTCTGACAGAAATCTAGTGAGCTAATAACTTTCTGTGCTCTCCACATATGCTGCACTGGTCTCGGTTCTCTCACTACAGCACACCTCCCACTATTTTAGAGTTCAGGTGTTCTGTAGTCCTAAAACACTCCCTGTCCTAGGGTGACGGCGCTGCTCCTGCATATAAGTGTTGTCACCCTAGAACAGGAACTGTGTTACGGACAGTATGGGGGGAATTTATCAAAACTGGAGCAGACAAAATCTGGAGCAGCTGTGCATGACGACCAATCAGCTTCTCTCTTCAGTTTGTTTAGATAAGATTTAAAAATGAAAGAGAGAAGCTGATTGGTTGCCGTGCACAGTCGCTCCAGATTTTGTCTGCTCCAGTTTTGATAAATCTAGATATGCTTTAACATTTTCCTGTACAACTTTGTTGTGTACAAAGGGTCCTAATTATTTTATCCTTGTATTTAGGTGGAGGAGAATTATGCGATTTACTGTGTTGGGCTTCTGGAATTGTGCTACTTAACTAAGGGCCTATTCAGACCTTCTCAGTGTGGTTCATTGTGGAAACACAAGTGTTGACCAGTGCCATTCATTATCAATGCAACCCCAACACATTAAACAAAAGCACCTCTGATGCACATGCTTTGCAGTGCACCCTGTTGGAAAAAATGGTGCATATCCAATTTTTGATGCGATTGGTGCAATGGCTGCCCATTCAGTCGAATGTGTTGCATGTTTTCACATGTGTTGCATTAAAGCATGTTAATGCAGTGGAACAAACTGGTCTGAATGGACACTCCAAAGTAGGTTTTTGAAAAATCTCAAGAAGAATGGGGGAAGTCTATCAAAACTGGAGCAGTTGCCCATAGTAACCAATCAGTTTCTCTCTTCAGTTTGTTTAGTTAAGTTTGCAAAATAAAAGATGGAAGCTGATTGATCGCTTTGTAGCTGCTGTGCTCTAGATTCTGTCTGCTCCAGTTTTGATAACTTCCCCTCATTGTTTTTCTTTTCTATTTTGAACATTTACACAGTATCTGCTATCAGATTAAAACCATATCTGTCCGCAAAACGTATAGTTTGGTACATTGCAAAAGTATACTGTTTTACAAAACACACATGTCCACAATGTGGAAGTTCTTTGGTCAGATGGAGTGCAAAGCCTCATGTGATGAGCCGGTAAATAAGCCTGTGTTTTTTTTCTTGTCAAATGAATTTTTATGGATCATTTGCAGGCAGCAATAGTCCTCATGGAAGCCCCACCTCCCTGGATCAGAACATGCTGCTAACCATAATTGTGTCCCTTGGAGTTGTAACTGTGCTAGTGGCTGTGGTCATCGCTGCCATCTGCTCCCGGCGCTCAAACTCCCACCATAAAAAGTGAGTTTCTTGGGATTTATTACATTTGGTTTACACAATTTACATGCTTGTACTAATCGTGAATATTTGCTCATTGAATGAATACTTTTTTTTTTTCTACTTGTTTAATCAGCAGCTTTAGTATAGATGGTCATTTTTGGCTCCCCTGGAGCTCATGGACAACGTTCATGATGAGCCGCTTTATCTATCTATCCAGTGCATCAGATATGTTTACACCCAGAAGTTGGGAGTAATGTAACAAAAAGTGGAAGAACTAAAGAAAGAGATTGAAAAAAGACACAATGCAGTTAAAGAGCAATGCATGGCAACAGCTAATGCCAGTCATTGACCTGCTAATGCTGCAGAGTTGTCAGTTAATAATTTACCATACTTTGTTCCACGCTGTGTCTTTGTAGAGGCAGCCATCCTGGTAGGGGAACAGGGTTTTTTTTTCATCAGAGCTTACCTGTCTGATGACTGCCGAGGTAAGATGATGACCAAAAAGCATATGCCAAGACTTGCAGAATAGATTAAAGAGAAGGGAGATCATTGCACTGCACATCTTCAGTTACATCTTCCTCTTCAGCAAGGAAAACAGTGACATCATCAAATGAAGCATCCTCTAGCATTTCTGTACTACACAGCATAGCACAAATGAGCGGAGCCAGGAAAATCCAACCAGTGTCTTTCCGGTACACAAGTTTCCATCGGCAATACATTGCAGGGGAGCAGAGTTCCCTGGGGCATTATAGCACCAGTAATGAAAAAGCCCTGGCCAGGTAGGCCATATTCCACTGTGCATTTCAAGATTCAGTTTTAGTTTTAACTTGAGATTACTTTTTAAAGCTGAACAACTTTGGGCACATAAACATTCATTGAAATCTATTAATAGCCACGAAGGATATAAATCCACTTTGTGTACATCAAAGTTCTTTGCAAATCCAGTTATTATACATAGTGTGTTGAGAGATGAATTTTGGGAGAGACCCAGCAGGCTCTCCCATTACAAGCTACCTACAGAAAATACAGGAGGGGGCGGAGACCAGACCAGTCACCCTGCACAAGAAAAGAGACCAGCAATGGCTGGTTTTAATACAGGAAGATCTTGCACAGAGATAGTGTTTAACCACTGAGAAGTTACTGCTTGTGGGGTTTAGTAGGTTGTACCACTGCCCACTAGTTAGCTTTATTTACTTATTCCAGGTATTTATATAGTGCTGCCAATTTACTCAGCACTTCACATACTGCATATTCACATCAGTCCCTACTCTCAAGGAGCTTACAATTGAAGGGCCTTATCTCACATGCATACATCTTGGGGCCGATTTTAGACAGGAGCCAATTAACCTACCAGCATGTCTTTGGAGTGTTGGAGGAAACCAGAGCACCCAGAGAAAACCCACATCAAAGCACATGCAAACTCCATGCAGATAGTCAGCCTCAGCCCGAGCCTGTTAATGTCACAAGCAATATTTTTTACTTCTAGATCACTTTTGTTGGTAAAGCTAAAAGCAGTACAGGTTTGATAATCACTCAAGTAGAACAGGCATGGTTAGAGATATTTAAGATTTTAAGGACTGTGTTAAAGGGGGAAATGTCAGGGTAGTGGCAGGCAGGGATGGCAATTGCTCTTGCAAGAAAAATATCCCATTGGCAGAATTGAGATTCCAAGGCATGATCTCCAGAGGGAAAATGAAAGTGTGGTGAGAAAGTGAACCTGCAACTTCACTATTAAGGATTTATCCTTGCTTTCCATCTGATGAATTACCTTTTTAAACTATATGTTTAGGAAAAGAGCTGCATGCAAGTCAGTAAATGGCTCTCATAAATACAAAGGCAACTCTAAGGATGTGAAGCCTCCTGATCTCTGGATTCACCATGAAAGGCTAGAGCTTAAGCCAGTGGACAAGTCCCCAGAAACAAACCCTATGCTGACAGACACCAGTCTGCCCCGTTCCCCACAGGACCTGACACCTGGAGAAAGCACTACAGAAGGCAGCATTCACCAGCACAGTAATTCATACCGAGGTGAGGAGAGCAGCAGTACACACTATGAATGATTACTATTCATGCCAGTGCATTTGGAGTGGGGAGACCTTAAGGGAAAATGATGTCAGATAAATATGTACTTCACATCTGTGGTGGACTAGACTGCAAGTGAAACCTGTAATAAAACTAGGTGGTTGGGTTTGGTGAGTACATAATTATTTCTAACAATTACTTAACCATCTTGTAGGTCTGGAATCGGAGGATTCTATATCTTCACTTGCAGGACGCCGGGGAATGAGACCAAAAATAATGATGCCGTTTGACTCTCAGCCTCCACAGCGTAAGTTCCAGGGAAGGTGGGATTCACACTGTGACAAAATCCTGTTCCTAAGGGCTTTGGAACTGTATGTGGGTAAAAAGTAGACTGTAGTTGGCTTGTTTTATACAACATGTAGAACAATTTGTAAGGGAAGCTTGAAGCTGTGGTGTATTATTTTTTTCATTTTGTCCAGTCTTGACTATTGCAAAATGCAATCCACCATTTGTATTTTACTCATATGTATTCTTTTACGACAACATTTAGGTTTAATATTGTTTGGACCTCATTGAATATACTTTCATTTCTCACTTGCAGTAGAATAGTGACAGCTGGGATCTGATATTTGGACAACCTTTTCTTTTCCTCTGTAGTTCTTCTAATCAGTCCAGCACATTCATTCCCACTATTATGCACTGCCATGCACCTCAGGCTTGACATTGTTCCACACCTCATCACCTCCTCTTTTAAGTCTTTCTATAGTACTTTGCATTTATTTACATAGAGCACATTGTTTTCTGCCATTTGTTACTCCCATTATTTCCATGTCCCATAATTCACCATTCTATCTCTTTCAGCGGTTGTCAGTGCTCATCCCATCCATTCCATCGATAACTCTCATTTTCGCTCAGTGCCTGGGTTCATGTTGCACGTTCTGGGTGGAGCTTCTCAAGCTGCAGGTGAGAACAGCGCAGCTTGTAAAGGTAGCGAAAGGACTCCTGTGCACACATGGTACCAAATGTAGCTGTAACTTCTGACTGTAGTGTAAAACAACAACAGATATGTGTATAACTGTATGCAAAGTATAGAAAAAAAGATATACATTTGCTGAATGATCAATATCCCTCCTTACTATGAAAACTGCATAAACCATTACTTACGTAACGTCTGCCAGCACCAAACATTTATCTAATCTCTCGAGTATTCCACCAACTGTAGTAATAATCTGGCCTGGTAAACGAGCAATGGATGGAATCTGTATGTCAGGGCAAAGCCGCTTATTACTGCGGCTCTAGCAACAAAATGTGTCTGCAGGAATCCAACATCTTTTTCCTATTGTAATGTAAACTGGGGCTTCATACCACCTGAAATATGGATCCAGTCCTGCAATTGTTGTAAGGGAAAGTAGTAAATTCCCTTAAGAGAGCTTAACGATTTGTTATAGGACAGGCAGTCAAGACTTCCTTAAAACGATTATAGGCAGACACTATTGAGGCTGCAATCAACGAATTGATCAATTATGATAATAGTTGTCAACTATTGTCATAGATTAGTTGGTTGAATCCCCTAGCTCCCTCCTCCATGCTGAGAGGAGGGAACAGCAAGCAGTGGGTGTGTGCAATAGCCAGCCTGCTATTGGCTATGGCAGTTTGAAATGGCCAATAGCAAGCTGGCTACTGCACCATGCCACTACCTGCTGTATTTACATTCGGCTGCTGTCAGCGGAATCTTGCCATCGGCAGCTGTCAATACAATTTTTAAGTTATAAAAGGTGGGAAAAGGTAATTTTCTGTTTCAGCCTGACAAATTCTGCTGCGGGAGGGGTGCCATTCATTTCAGTGGCACCCCAAACACGCCTCCCACCCACAGTGTGATTGCCCACACTGGAACGCACAGTAAGCAATGAAGTGCGATTGCAAAAAATTGTGCATGCAGCTTTATTCTGAAGTAAACATCGTTTGTAACACTGCATTTGTGTATTTTATTCCAAATTAAGGACGGTGTTTATCTAATTTTTTTTATCTGATTGAAAAACCAATCGGCCAATTAATCGATTAGGAATATAATCATTAGTTGCAGCACTAGACACTATATCAGCTGACTTAGTACTTGATATACTAGGTCCGTTTCTGTGATAGCAGAATATGGAACAGTGGCAGTCAGAAGGATACTCCCTTAGTTTATTTTCTCTGCCATAGTGGTGGTAAATTTTTTGCCCATGTTCGATATGCTGTATACAGCAGTGGCCTCTTCCCCCACTTTCCCAGTCATCATCCATCAGCACCCTGTCCATATTAGTATGTTTACGGCTCTCTCAACTAATTCACACATTCTACCCAATCTGGTTTATATGACTGCTGTTTTTCTAGTACACATTGGTACATGCATGTGTTATTTTATCATTATGGAAATAAAGTTATAATTAAAAGGTCCCATTTGATATTTCTTATCACAGAATCTGTTCGTCATACTCCCAGTTGTGACACAGTAGTAGTAGCAGCATCATCCTCTTCTCAGACTGGTGTTGAGGACCCAGATCCACCTGGAGCCAGTTTTCTACCTGGCTCATTGGATGAAGATTCTGGACCCAGCATTCCTACTGCACATATCCGACCTACCCATCCCTTGAAGAGTTTTGCAGTACCCGCTGTTCCAGCTCCGGCTCCCGGGGCAGCTTATGAGCCACTGCCAAGCTCTCCGCTTTTGGCACAACAATGTAAGTTCCCCAGGAATTCCCTTTCCTGTCCTCCTCAGTGTGTCTCTTTAGTTAAGTGTGTGTATATATTTATATAGATTTATATATAATTACTACAGGTCCATCAGCACTATCTGTAAAAACAGCTTCTCTAGGGACCCTGGGGAGAGTACGTCCACCGCTTCCGGTAAATATGCCCAGTGCCCCTGAACCACTAGAGACCAGCAGAATGCTAGATGGCTCAGAGAGTGTAAGTATCTGTCTAATTTTACATTTGTTAACATTTTGTACACATATATGGGTGGTGGGGAAATTGAATTAAAAAAAAAAGAATGCCAAGCAGGGCAAACCAGGCATTCCCAGTAGTACATACACCTCTTTGCTTTGTTCACCGGCTGCTCTGTTCAGCTGCCGAGAGCAAAGAAAATACTTTGGTACCTAAGGTTTGGAAGAGCACATGATACTCTTCTTGTAATGCTGGGCCAGTCATTAAAGTGACATTAAACCCTCAGATTTTTTAACACAAACCAATACTGTAATGTGTGCCTTAATGTAATCCATGGTTGTTTCCCTTCTCTTTGCGGCTCTTCCTTTTAAATCCTCATGTCTTCTCATGCTTGGGGAGAACTTCCCTTTGCAGCTGAGTGCCTCTTCCTGTAGTGCTGGCTCAGGTTTCAAACCAACACACAGACACCATGTATCCTTTTCAGAGACAAGGCAGTCTGCTGCAAAACAGAAGTTCTGCCCAGCATGAGAACAGATTTAAAAGGAAGAGCAGCAAAGAGAAGGGAAACAACCATGGATTACAGTAAGGCACACATTACAGTATTGTGTTATGTTAAATAATCTGAGGGTTTAATGTTGCTTTAAGTCTTTCACATGTAGAGTCCATAGCCCTGTGTATGATTTGACTCCCTTCAGATCTCTACAGCTGAATGGAACAATGGGGTAGAGGAGGAAAGGGGGAGTATGTGCTGGTGGGATTAGGGGATTAAATTGAACCGGTTTTGCCCTGCAGAAAAGTAATATAAAAGAAATTGAATGTAAATCCCTAGATGGATTGCAATGTAAAGAACCACTATTGTGAAACATACTGTTAATACCTGGGTTTGGTTAGCACATGGAATGCAACCATCAAATGTTTTTTTAAGTTGGATATCCCCTAAAGGCTTTGCAAGGTCACAGAGCTTCATTTTCCTAGAGTAAGGAAGAGTGTGTGTAAGTTGTAAAGTGAATTTTAACTTCGCTTAGTGAATGAGGGAAAGCTGTTTTCACTTTGAATAGCTAATCGCACAAGGGGAAAAAAAAATAACTAAACAGTGTTTTTGCTCGTACATGATTGATGAGCACAACCACACCACTAAAAGATCATTCACTTTGTAATGTATACAACTTTGATAAATTAACCACAAAGTGTTCACAAGCTGTGTTGTTTTTTTTTTTTCTTGTCTATTCATTTTTCATTAGGATAGTTTTTTTTAGTTTTTTGTATCACTAGTATACACTATTTCACAGCAAAAATGACCACCTATTTTGCCTTTTAATATAACAGCTTAACATACAGTACAGATTGCTTTATGTGTGTAATCTCTGATGTTGCAATCAAAATGGCTGCTGTGTTAGTACAATGTCCTGCTCTTGGTACTACTGTATGTTATGGTTTTTTTATAGTCTCGTCTTAGCACTATATACAAACATATATTTTTATGTTTAATATACAAGTCTGTACATGTGTGGGCTTACACCAAAACAGTGGAAAGAGAGTAATGACGTGCAAAGTAATAAAACCTATACCTTCTAGATAGCTTTAAGTTTATCATAGTACATTTTTGCTGCAAAGTTACTGTATTTTTGCTCTTTGACATACTGGTTCAGCCAATTTGTTTTCTCTGCAGAGTTATGAACCAGATGAACTAAGCAAGGAGATGGCTCATCTTGAAGGCCTGATGAAGGATCTGAATGCCATAACCACAGCATGAAAACAGAACCCCACCCCAGAGGCAAACCTGATAGTGTATGGGCAGAGGCAGTGCAGCCCACAAGAAAGGGTCTCTGTGACACAATGAAGTTTACTGTCAAACAAGCTGGAAGCCCAGACTGTGTATGCTGCGGCAACCACCAATGGCTGAAGCCTGGCATTCTGTACCTTATCATTTCCTCTGATTTCTAAGATTTTATGGGGGGTTTATATCAGAAGAGGAATTTTATGTAAACTATGGAGGAATATTGTGTATTTCCATTGTTTTTGTTCTTTTCACCTCTAATGGGCCTTCACCGTGTTGCTGTGGCTCAGTGTTATGCCCCACCATGTGGCCAGCTGGACAGCTAAAGGACACCCAATGGAAAGAGTTCCTTTTACAGCAACAGTTGCTTTTTGTGCAGTGTTTTCAGGCTGCAAATCACATCTGTTGGAAGCAACTCCCCCTCCAGCCTCTGTGAGACTTAAAACAGTGTTACTCCCCCTCCCCTACACACACCACCACTCCAGAATTTTGGCTAGATGTTCCCTCCAGATCTCCGTCCATTTCCAATGAACCTGGGCCACTGTAGCCAATTGGGAGGTCCAGGACCTGTACAGTACATGTAATGAAGCTGCGTGAGCTGACCAGACACAACGGTATCCTTGTTTGCTGCCATGGAGAAGCCTAGTGTTGTACATGGTATTGGTGGCTTCATGAAGGGGCTCATGTGTTGGCCTTTATAACTGATCTGTTCTTCGGCACTTTCACATGTCGGTCCATTTTTCATCTTGTGACTTCCTTGTTATTGTATATGGATTCATCACCCTCCACATTCTCCTGTATATTGTCCTATCAACCAACACACCCAGTCTTTTCTGTACAGAAAATTCATTCTATTTTTGTTTTTTATTGCTTTCTCTGTAGTGTTTAGAATGTATCTTTTTATTGTGACCTTTTTTTTATAACATCATGATTATTATTTGGTATTGGATTTCAATACACTTTTTTATTCAATCAAATTGCCTTTCATGCCTTTTATATAATGCTTCAACTTGTCCTTAGATTGGATCGCTAAAATTACCTCAAGTGTTCACATTCCCATTACCTGAAGATTATTCTTTCTTTACAAAGTTTGCTATATTCATGTTATATTCATGTTTGGAAAACCGTTTTGATGAAAACATCGCACATAGGAAGCTGCTATAACAGTATTCACCAAACAGAAGAGATGTGGAAATGAAATGAGAGAAATGACGTCTGTGGCACGTTTTGATATTTGACATTTATCAATACTATGTTTCAGATACAAATTTGGCTCATAACTGAGAACCTATGCTGTATTTATACTTCTCTTGTATATGTTTATTGCAGAACAGATTAATCATTGTACTGATTTTCTTGTAGCAGTAATCTGAAATTTACCAAACTTTCATAGTTGGCTGATTGAGGATGTAGGTTATTGTGACTTTGTAGTTGGTAAAAAGCTGCTTCCCTCAACTATCCAGCTCATGTAGCTCATGTTCCCTGTAGCATTTGCTGTCCATATACAACTACATTGACTAAGATACATGCCTCTGGATGGTTAGACTTCATGCACCTACATCTCATCTAGAAGTAGTTTTTTTTTTTAGGGATATCTGGGTTTGCATATTTCAATCTCTTCAGCTGTTGTCGCCTCATTTTCTGTGCAGCTATGACAAATAAGGATTTTTACACACCCAATTATGACACTGCAAAGCACATGACTTCCCTGTACAGTGTAAGTGAAAGGGAGCGGGTAGCCATAGGCGTGCATACGGGGTGTGCCTGGGCACACCCTAATCACCCCAAGCTCAACACCAAAACTGTGGGCGCCTGGGACGGACTGACTGTCCGGGCCTTCAGTAAAACTGAAGCTGGTCCAGTAAACCAGCACCGGGCTTTACAGGAAGACTGCTCAGGTCCTCAGCAAGGTCGCGTTGGCCTTCCTGTGAACAGCGGGTAAGACCAAACAGACCATTTGAGAGCCACACAGCCACCATTAACCCTGCACAGACCCACCTGAGCCACGCTGACCACCATTAACCCCACACAACTACCTGAAAGCCACACAGACCGCCATTAACTCCGCACAGACCACATCCTGGTTTTAGTTTGTTAGGGCAGGTCCACACCATTTTCCTGATCAGATCTGGTCTGGAAAATGGTGTGAACCTGCTTGCAGTTCCAGTGCAGACCAGACCAGACCAGACATAATGAGACAATCAATATTTTTTTGGTCTGGAACGGACTGCGCTGGTGTGAACAGAGGCCAGAAATGGCATAGGGATACATTAGGATGCATTTTGGGTCTGGAAATAATCAGCAAGGTCGCGTTGGCCTTCCTGTGAACAGCGGGTAAGACCAAACAGACCATTTGAGAGCCACACAGCCACCATTAACCCTGCACAGACCCACCTGAGCCACGCTGACCACCATTAACCCCACACAACTACCTGAAAGCCACACAGACCGCCATTAACTCCGCACAGACCACATGAGAGCCGCACAGCCACCATTGACCCCACACAGACCACCATAGAACCTGCATAGCCACATGAGTCCTCGCAGCCCACCATAGACCCTGCACAGCCCACCATAGACCCCGCCATAGAGTCCTCACAGCCTACTAAAGAACCTGCACAGCCACCTGAGAGTTGGCATAGCTCACGATAAACCCGCACAGCCCTCCTGAGATTCCACACAGCCACCTGAGACATCAGGCCAGCACCCCGGAGCAACACAGAGTATGTAGCTTGGTATTATTTTGCATTCATGTATAATGCATTGCTCGGATTTGTAGTCCTCTATAGCTGGTTGACATTCGGCATTGCTGTATAATGTATCGCTGGGATTTGTAGTTCTCTAGCTGATGGTATTATTCTGCATTACTGTATAATGTATTAATGGGATTTGTAGTCCTCTATAGCTGATGTATCTGTAAAAAAAAAAAATCAAGGCAACTGGACTTGCTGTATCTTTCTTGGATGTTTCGCTGGTCATCTGACTAGCTTTCTAAAGAAAAGAAAGTAGTCAGATGACCAACAAAACATCTTCAAGCAAAATACAGCAAGTCCAGTTGCCTTGATTTATTTTTTTCAGATATACCATGACCTGGATGAATGAGAACCTTCACAGACTCTGGTGGTATTCTGCATTACTGTATAATGTATTGCTGAAATTTGTAGTCCCTGTACAGTTTGCAGTCAGTAGCAGATCTACCAGGGGTGCAGTGATTGTAGCTGGGATCGGGCCCTGGCACTTCACCACTGTACTAAAATCATTATTTTGTATTGTTTTAGAAAAACTCACATGACACAAAAAATATTGGTAATTGGTATCAGCGAGTACTTGAGGAAAGTATCGTTACTTGGTCTGACAAAAATGGTATTGGTGCATCCCTTGTTTCAAGTTTGATCAGTTGCATAACGCAATCTTTCCTTTTCTAAGTGTCAGATTTAATTATCGGATCTCTTCATCTTCTTTGATTTTTTTTTTTTTTCTCATTTTACTGACAGAGCCATTCTTTAAAATCGGAAATGTATTTTATTACCCAGTTATCAAAGTGAACCTGTCAATGATGATAACTTTTTAAAAGGAAAGTTCTCCCCAAGATCAGAACGGTGTCTGCCATTATCTTAAAGGAGAACTATGAGGTGAGTGCTTTCCACTCACCTCATAGTTCTATCCGACCTGTGACAATGAGACTGTCACAGGTCGGCTCAGTAGATCGGGAGGTGAGCGAACACATACCGGAGTTCGCTCCCCTCTCGATCCTGTCACGGCTCTCTGCCGTGACAGGGGAAGGGGCTGGATTCCCCGCTCCGATCTGCCAGCGCTGACTGGCGGAACGGATGGGGGCGGGTACAGCTGGCTCTGCCTTTAGATAGGCAGAGCCAGCTGTCAGTCACGCAGCTGGGCGGATCTCGGCACAATTGTCAGGATCCGCTTCAGCTGCGGCTTCTCAGTATACCGTGAGCAGCAACTCGCAGTATACTGAGCTTAGGGTGACGGGAGGACGCTAGTTTGTGTCCTCCCGTTACCCTAAGGAAAACTATAGGGAAAAGCCTTAACCCCATAGTTCTCCTTTTTATTTAGCCAGAAAAAAACCTCTGTGCTCCCTTTTTGATCCTGGTTTTAGTTTGTTAGGGCAGGTCCACACCATTTTCCTGATCAGATCTGGTCTGGAAAATGGTGTGAACCTGCTTGCAGTTCCAGTGCAGACCAGACCAGACCAGACATAATGAGACAATCAATATTTTTTTGGTCTGGAACGGACTGCGCTGGTGTGAACAGAGGCCAGAAATGGCATAGGGATACATTAGGATGCATTTTGGGTCTGGAAATAATCTGGTCTGGAGATGATCTTTCTATATCTTAATAATGTTCAGCTATGCACAACAATTATTAGCCATTTCCTTGGGGGGGGGGGGTACGGGGGAGTTCGGGAGGGACTGACACTCGG